GCACTGCTCGTGAGTATTCCCGCGGAAAAGACTACCGAACGTAGACCGGCATGGGCCCTTGGACTGTTATGCTGGCCACACTGACACTACTTTCCGTGCTGACCGTGTTTATTATGTTAATATTGCCTTCTCTTATCGCTGTCCGGATCCATTGTGTTATTATAATGTGCTCTTTCTTTTATTGACAAGCATGTGTCTTTTCTTGTCCACTTTGGACAGCAATAATTTAAGTGTTTCAAGCTTGAAGGTGGTGTGATTACGATGCCTCTGGTATTTAACTGATTAATGCAAAAATGGTTTTGAATTATCAAAAGAGGGGAGTGTGGTGTGCAGCAAATACACGGACGTCAAAGGCCTTTTATCAATGCAGACGACCTTCTGACGCCATGCTGAGCTTTGTGAAGGTCCCTGCTGTCTGTCACACCCTTGTGTCTTTCCGTCTTGCATCTGTATGACCTGCATTTCCACCATTGTCTGTCTGTTCACACCCCATGCCACTGCCACCACAGGGGATGGCGCCGGCGCTTCCTGTGCGCCTCCTCACCGGTGGCCCCCTCCGCTCCGTTGTGGGCGTGACTATCTTTGGTGTGTGTCTTGTATACAGGAAGCTGGGGGCTCTGGCCCCCAGAGCTGAGCATGCTGCCTTTGTGTGCATATGCTGACTCTCCGCACTGTGCGTTAACAATAAACTTACGCTTTTGATCAGACAAAGGACCTTTGAGTTTTCTCCTTCATGGGGTATATAATTCTATAACAGGCCCTGTCATGACGCCACCTGTGCCATTCCCTTAGTGATAACACAAAGAATACATTACAGAAAGACATCTGGAGTTAATCAGTCTAATCTGGAAAATCTAATTCTTGTTCCGTGTAAGAATCAGCCGACCACAACCGCTGATACTGAAACTTTGAAACTTGCTATGCTAAATGTCAGATCTCTTTGTAACAAGTCTTTTTTAATCAATAATTTTATTTGTTCTTATAATCTTGATCTTATGTTCATGGCTGAAACATGGCTTGACCAAAATACAGAAAATGCAGTTTTAATAGAAGCATCACCACCAAATTTCAAATTTGAATCTGAAATACAGGAAATCAAAAAAGGAGGAGGCTTAGCTGCCATTTTTAGAGACCACTTTGTCTCCCATAGAATGTCTCTTGGGAAGTTTCCGTCTTTTGAATATGTGTCTTTTAAAATACAACAAAAACAATCTCCTCCAATACTCTTCATAGTCCTATACAAGCCACCGCAGTCATGTCACAGTTTTATTGATAATTTTACAGAGTTGCTTTCAGTTGTATGCACAGATTTTGATAGTTTGGTTATTACAGGTGATTTTAATATTCATGTGGATAATGTTGATGACAGAAATGCAAATGAGCTGAGTTCTTTACTTGATACCTTTGGTCTCACTCAGCACGTGAGTGGCCCCACCCACAGCAGAGGGCACACTCTAGACCTGTTAGTTACAAAGGGGGTGAATATTTCAAAAATAAGCGTGGTCGATGTTGCTCTTTCGGATCATTTCTGTATATTTTTTTGACATGTGTTTCACTAACAAACCACCAGTGGACTCTGCAACTGTTCGAAGAAGACACATAAATGAAAATACGAGTGAACTATTTATGGGAATGATAAACTTTGAAAATGCATCGTATTCTACTGTAGATGAACTGTTTAACTCTGTCACCTCTAGTGTTTTGAATGTTCTGGATACCGTTGCCCCTGTGAAGGTTAAAATAGTGAAAAATAAGCAGAAGGCGCCGTGGGCTAAAGCAGACTCGGTCAGAGCACAAAAGAGAGAGTGCCGGAGGGCCGAGCGGAAGTGGCGCAAGTCCAACCTCCAGGTTGATTACAAGATATTCAAAGATAAGATGTGCGAGTTTAACCGGGTGCTACGTAGTACGAGAGAAAGGTATTTTTCTGAAATGATTGAAGGCTGCAGCAACAATCTGCGTGTTCTGTTTTCAACAGTTAATAGATTAACAAACCCCCCTGTTCAGATGCCATTAGAGCTAACTTCCAAATGTAAATGCAATGAGTTTGCACACTTTTTCAATGACAAGGTTCAAGGCATCAAAAACGCATTGTCTCCAATCCACAGATAACCATCCAACAGCCAGAAAGGCTCTCTGAGCTAACTCACTTTGCACCTGTAGATGATAAAAATGTCCAAGAAATAATCTCCAGTTTGAGCTCCTCCACATGCAGCCTGGATGTACTACCCACTAGATTTCTGAAGTCTGTTCTGAGCAGTCTGTTACCTTCACTCACACAGATAGTAAACATGTCCCTTCATTCTGGAATATTCCCAAAGGCCCTGAAAACGGCAGTCATCAGGCCCCTGCTAAAAAAGAGCAGTCTGGATGCTACGGTACTTAACAACTATCGTCCCATCTCAAATCTGCCATTTATGGGGAAAGTCCTTGAAAAAGTTGTCTACCTACAGCTTACTAGATTTCTTATAATCAACAACTCATTTGATATGTTTCAGTCCGGCTTTAGACCCCACCACAGCACTGAGACTGCTCTTGTCAAGGTTACAAACGATATCCGGCTGAACACTGACGCAGGCAAAGTCTCAATCTTAATCTTGTTAGATCTAAGTGCTGCCTTTGACACTGTCGACCATGAGATCCTCTTACAGAGACTAGAGGACTGGGTTGGCGTCACTGGCACCGCTCTAAGTTGGTTTAGGTCTTACCTTGAAGACAGGAAGTACTTTGTGGAGATTGGAAACTGTGTCTCAGATCGTATGGCCCTGACCTGTGGAGTACCACAGGGGTCGATCCTGGGACCTCTTCTGTTCAATCTCTACATGCTGCCGCTAGGTCAGTTAATACGCAGAAACAAAGTTTCCTATCATAACTATGCAGACGACACTCAGATCTATGTCTCACTGACTGCAGGAGAACATGGACCAGTGGACTCACTCCTTCACTGTATCCAACAGATCAGTGAGTGGATGCAAAACAACTTCCTTCAGCTAAACGCAGACAAAACTGAAATGATTGTCTTTGGTCCCCAGAAACAAAGAGAGAGCGTCATCTGTCACCTACAGTCTCTCTCCCTAAAACCTTCAAACAAGGTCAGAAATCTAGGGGTAATACTGGACTCAGACTTAAATTTTAATAGCCACATCAAATCAGTAACATCAGCAGCTTTTTACCATCTAAAAAACATTGCCAGGATCAAAAACATAGTGTCTAAAGCAGACTTGGAGATTCTTATCCATGCATTTGTCTCCAGTAGGTTAGGCTACTGCAATGGCCTGCTCACAGGTCTGTCCAAACAGGCTGTAAAACAGCTGCAGTACATTCAAAATGCAGCAGCTCGAGTCCTGACTAGAACCAGGAAGTACGACCATATTAGTCCGGTCCTCAGGTCTCTGCACTGGCTTCCTGTGGCTCAGAGAATAGACTTTAAAACAGCTCTGCTTGTGTACAAATCTCTCCATGGCCTCGCACCAAACTATATTAGTGACATGTTTGTCCCATATGAACCAGCCCGGACTCTGAGGAGCACAGGGACTGGACTCCTGTTAGTGTCCAGTCAGAACTAAACATGGGGAGGCTGCTTTTCAGATTCATGCTGCTAAAATCTGGAACAGTCTTCCTGAAGATGTGGGACAGGCCTCCTCTCTGACAATGTTTAAAACCAGGTTAAAAACGGTTCTGTTTAGCTGTGCATAGAACTGAGGGATTTTATATTTTTATCTTTTTTTTTAATGTACTGTGATTATTTATGATTTTAATGCTTTCTTGTTTTGTTCAGCACTTTGAATTGCCTTGTGTATGAATTGTGCTATACAAATAAACTTGCCTTGCCTTGCCTTGAAATGTCTCAGTTAGAATGTTGTTTTAGGACAGTCAGAAGGTCCTCAAATAAATATACAAAAACACTGGATTTAAGCATTCTTTACCTCATATTTTATCACTTTTTGCAGCTGAAGTTCCAGGGAATAGAGACAAACAAGGAAATCCAAATAGGAGATTCATAAAGAACAGGTTCCGTCTTTGACTAGGACTAAGAGACTTCTGAACTGCTGAAGAGTACTGAACCTGCACTTAGAAAAAAATAACGTCAAATTAGATTCTGTACAAAGCAAATGAGCGGATGAAAACATGAAACATCATAAAAGGACCCATCTCACATAGACGTTATATTTATACTTCCAGTGTTTGTCATGCTGGGTCTGTGAGAGGGCCTTTAAACTTGAATAAAATCAAGAAAATCAAATCAAAACAACAGAACTGTACAAAGCTTCCCCGGACCGATGTTTGAACAGCTTGTCCAAAGTGTCGTTATTATAAGTTAGATTTAGGACCTCAAAACCACTGTAACTCAATACCAGTCATTGGAGAAGACCTCACTGTGAGAAACCAGTCTTGCGTGAGACCAGATAAAGTCCGGGTTTAGTCCAGTTTATATGGGTTTTCAGACGGTAGGAACATTTTTTTTCAATTCCTGTCTTAAGTTCGTTTGTGGCACATTCCCACTCACACAAGATGATAGAAAGTTGACCATGACGTATGGTTCCTTCATTTTCAAACCTGGATTTATTTTCTGATGCGCAATAGTTTTACAGTTTGAGTTGCCAACGTCTTATCTATTCATTTTGTAAGTTTTAGTTTTTTTATATACTAACAATAAAGACAAGGTTTATGTCCCTATATGTCATCTCATTAGTCCTGTATAGATGCTAATTTTAAATCCAGTTGGAGCCGAGTCCTTCTGAATAAAAAGCAGCCGGGGGACGAGTTCTTGGTGCAAAAACCCTTAATCTCCTTGGTTTCTGTCTGTACAATTAGGGCTGTTGCCATAGTGATTATCAATGCGAAACAAAATATCGTATCTCATATCGTAAAAGTGAAAAAGGTCCTCCAAATGTTGCCTGAAACAAGAACTCCGTGAGAAGTCCAGTTGGTGTAGCGTTCCGGTGTGTGCAAAGTCCGATCCTGGGTTGTCCTGGCTGAGTGTAGTCCGGTTTGGGGCGGTCCTAGCTGCACTTGCAGGACTTGACTTTCATGTTTGACAACTGTTCGATCTTGGGAGTTTTCCCGATGTAGTAGAGGATGGTGAGAGGCTCCAGGTCCTGGGACACGCAGCAGGGAGATGCAGAGGCCTCCGGGTTTATGGTGTTGTACAAACCTAACACCTGACACAGGCAAGGAAAGAACCACAATGAGGCATGGATTTGATATCTTTGTTTTGTTGTCAAAGAAAATTATGAATAAACATGAATACATTAATTTGATTGGATGTATTGTGTCATTAGACATGTGCAGATGTTCTATATACAGTAGGTAGGATTCTATTTCAGTTAGAGGGCAGTGATTAGATTAGAAACCTGCCATATTATTCTTATGTCTGAAATTCCTTTTGACTGGCCAATAACATTCATATCTGTTTTGTCATCACTTCTCGGCACAATAAAAATAAATCATTATCATAGTTGATATATACTGACAAAGAAGATGTGATTTGTGATAGTTTTTGTTAAATATGGATTGGCCCAGGAATTACAACCTCTGACCTCAAAGTCTGACTTGACAGTTACTATAGTTACTGTCCATAGTCTGACTTATTTTCAGCTCACCACAAGTTAAAACTAGGCTTTTGTCATGTTGTCATAGGTAAACGTAACCTAATAAAACTGACTGAAATGTTTTAGTTCATGAACAGTGCAACTGTAAAGGCTGTACTTTTGAACTCATTGGCCTACACTCAAATAAAGCGGAACTAAACAGTATATCCCCGAGGATTCACAGAAAGGTGAACATATGTCTCACTTTACTGTGCTGCGTGTCTGCGCTCCACAGATATGGACAGGCTCCAGCACAGAAGTTGGCCTCGTAGCCTTTGGGCTCATGGATCCACCTCCAGCCCAGGTCCTTCTTAAAGTCAATGTAGAGAGAGCGCAGGCAGCAGTTGTCCTGGACGTTCCTACAACACAACCAGAATCCATCTAAATCTTTTGATGCTAAACTCTTGACCTCAATAAATAAAAGGCAGGAGATCCGGTCTGTACCTGGAGCAGTATGCCGCGTCCAGAGCGCGCTTGGCCCTGTAGGGCTTATGCTGTGACTGAGACTCCAGTCTGTAGGAGGGCAGCAGCATCAGCAGCAGGTGAGGAGACCGAGTGCTGTGTCTGCGCTTCTTAAACACTTTCAGGTCTCCTCCAAAGCTGTCGTCAATACCTGAGGAGAAGTGCATCTGTTTAAAAACAACTTACTACCAGCAAATGTTTTGCCTTGATCTTCTTTAGCAAAGAACAGACCTGCGAACTGTGCCTCCAGCTCCTCGCTCTTGTTAGGGATGATGAGGTTGTTGGAGGGAACAAAGGTGCAGCAGGGGCAGTGCAGGCTGAGCTTGAAGCCACTGTTCCTGTCTGCACACCACAATGTGTGTGTTAGTATACAACAGAACAACTGTTGTACGCACAAATATATATTAAACTTCATAAAGGTCATGATACCCTTGTGAATATAATTCAAAACAAACTAGAAGTGAAAACTCATGAATAGACTTGCCAGATCAGCCAGGCTCAGTAAGTCCAAACGTCAACATTTGGCAATACTACTAAGTGTTCTAATGCAGAAGGGTCCAATAACAGAACAGTAGACACCAAAGTCAGTAATCAAGTGTTAACACAGTTTAAACAAATGACTGAGCGCTTGTGAACGCTTCTGTTGGATGTTGACATTCACAATCTCTCTTTTTTACTCTCTCTCTCTATTCTCTGATTAGTACTTTACCTTTTCTCTCAATTACCAGCCATAAAATCGTCAACTTGGGCCAGAATAGCCAATAGTGTAGTTATTATTTAGTTTAAACACTCCAGTGAGACATTACAGATGCCTTGACCCAGTCATGAGTAATAACATGTTTAAGACACCTCCTCCCTCTAGCCTGAGGATACAGGTTAGTGCAGGGAATTAAAAGCTGAAGTGATATTTTATTTGGTAGGTGAAGTGGAAGTCCTTCAGTCATCTCCCATTTCACAAATGGGAATTACTACTTCCAGGGCACTTGCCCGAAAGGCACAAGTTGAGCTTTCTGTATTACGTCCCAATGAAAAGCTCATTGGGAATTGAAACCGATATTAGTCCATCTTTGAGTCATTATTTCTTGATAAAGTGGATTAAGGATAGGTAAAGTAGACACCTCTGTGATTGAGCCACTCGCTGACCACCTCGGTCACATCAAAGGAAAGCCACTCGCCCTCGGTCTGTGTGCGCACCACTCTGCTGTCAATGTACCTCTGAGTGGGAGACGCCAGGGCCTTGTGCGACAGGATCTGCACAGAACACAGGAGGAGAATAAGTGCCACAATCAGAATTATTTAGTCAGAAAAGTATTAGCATCTCATAAGATGCAATTCCAATAAACAGTGAGCAAACAAAACACACTAATAACTATCTTTGAAAAATAAAGAGTAGCCAGACTTAGATTATATTTATAATAACGTAAGTATGATTTTTATCAACATGACCCCTGTTTGCCGTCTTTACATAGTTAGATAAAAGAACTTCCTCAAGTGAGTGTTTGAACCATAGCTCTTCACCTGCATCCTAAACACTATTCTGTAGATCCAGATGAGGCTGATCCTCCGTACCGGGACGTCCCATCGGCTCGCATACAGCTCAGTTTTAGCCCCTGTTAGCCTCTGTTAGCATGTCGTGGTGAGCTGTTTATGCTAACTGTCAAACGCAGTGCTGAGGCCCGAGTGGTACTACAAACAAAGTCTCAACACAGTAATAATCGCAGAACGTGAGGAGACCTGGACCACACAGGAGCTGCTGAGGGAGAGGGGAAATGAAGGCAGACAGAATAAGAAGAGAACCATTTTAATTCTGATTCTTCATGATTCAGATCATGAAGATTCAGATCTCTTCATGATCTTGAAAATGTGGCACTGTAAAACATGTTACATAACGACTATGTGCATGCGTTTTCTCTCTTGACTTTATATGATTAAAATATAATGTACATTACAATATACCATATTTAAATAGCCTAAGATTGGCCAATGTCATTTTCCGGCTCAGTAAGATTAAGAAAAGGCTTGATGCTTTATTTGTTGGCGTAAAACCATTAAACAGGTGAACATGTGTCCACTAGAGTCCAGGGGTATTCAACTTGGTCCTCAAAGGGCAGGGTCCAGGTTTTCATTCCAACCAAGCAGGAGCCCTTCAGACTCATCCATCTCTTCACGTTTCCAGGTCAAGACTGGACTCACTTGAAGAAATGGGTAGAGCTGGATGAGCTCCTGTTGGTTGGAATGAAAACCTGTAGACACTCGGCCCACATTGCCTTTTGCTCCACGTTTGAATACACTATCTTTCCAACTTAGTCCAGCTCCTTAATACTACTTTCCGAAACCTTATCGGCCACTGGAAACAATATGGCCGCTGCATGTGGATGTGTGCGATGCTCTCTGGTACCTGGTAGAGTTCTATGCGTTGCTCGGCAACCCGGGCTACAGGGTTCTGCAGTCTGAATATCCGGAGTTCTGCTTTGACGAGATTGGAGGCGTTTTTCTCCATGGAGGACACGTCAAAGGAGAGCCGCCGGTAGTACGGGTTTAAGAAGGTTGGAGAGATCACGTCTGACGAGAGGAGAGGAGACAGAAATGGTTACTATAGTACACCCAGACACTGTGGAGACAATAATCATGACTTATTTTAGACAGAGAACAAACAGTACACTTTACGGTTAAACAATAAAATTAACAATGGAAATTGTGTTTTGACAATATGGTGTCAGACTAGAGTTGTTATGAATAAAACATGAAGAAAGTAGAATGAGAAATGCTCGTTTGGACATTTGTGATTTTTATGCCATTTTATACCATGGTCTGTGGGAATTCCAATGTTAACTGCTGTGAGTTATTTTTGTATATTATGCACACGTAGTTCCGGTAAGTTTAAAATCATGCTCTATATCACTCCGCCACAGTTGTTGCCATAGTAACTGTAACAGCTGGATCAAATAAACTGTTAATTAGGTGACAAGCCGTAGCGACTAATAGCGCCGGATAACAAGGATTTTGAGGTGAATTTTAACATTTTTGGACATAACAAAAAAACAAAACCTTTGGGAATGGGAAAAAGAGGAGAACCAAGAAGAAGAAAGACGAAAGCAACGACAAAAGGAGTTAACATCGGAGGAACTGAATAGAATTGTAGATGAGAAAGAGGAAGAGAAAACCAAAAAAGTAACAAAAAGGGCTGTCACTATTTTAAAAGACAGAGAAATGCTGATCTAGGTCTGCATTTTATTAAATAAGTGAATATAGTACATAGTCTGTGTAAATGTTAATGTTTTGTCTGCGTTTTAATAAAAGTAGTTCCCATTTCTCTTTACTTTGCGGAGGAACACCACTCACCTGCGCATCGTGTCCCAGACCCTGTGTGTATTATACAGTTATAATGAACGGCTCCTAGTTGTTTAATTTTTTCATAACAGATCAGAGATTAGATTAAAATAGATATAAAGAAATAATTTGCTGTGTTTAGTGACACCGAGTGACCGCTTTTACAACATAACAGCTCTTGGACAAAACAAGTTCTGCCTCCACCACACTGGTTAGGAGGGGGTCAGAGTGTAATTTGCCTTTTATTACGGTTGAGTTGTATTTATGTTTATTAACTGGCTCCTGTCGGCTCCTGTGCTGTGTTCCTGTCTTCTCTTTGGCCACATTGAAACAAGAGCTCTTTCTTCACAGCCTGGTTCAGTCCAACATCAACATTTAACATTTGGGAGGAACTGGGAAATTCCTGGTGCAATGTTTTTCTTTACGTCAGTTGAAACTTTAAGATATTGTGGAACCGCTCCCAACTGCAACTCCATTTATCACAATTTTAAGTATTAAGTAAAAAATCTGCCATCAAATGAACTGTACTGTTTTCTGAGCATTAGAAGAAGCTGTTGTCAGAAAAAGCAGTTTGAACGCACCACAGCAGAACCATCTTCATTGTCATTGGAGCACAAACAAAATCAGGATGACATATTGTGCCAAAATGCCTGGGTGCTTTACAGATAAGGAAATAGAAAAGTAACATTGGGACCATAAATACAGGAATTATAGGAACAGTGGTTACTTGAATATAGTGAAAATAGAGAAGGATTACTCTATATACTTCCAAGTGAGCAAATGAGGAGGACAATTATTATGATAAAAGTACATTTTAAACTAATATGATCTTTATCTCAGCCCAAAAACCTGCTCCGGGAGCACATGGGGAGACCAAATGTTTACACAGCTATGAATGGACGACTGTGCAAGATCCACACTAGGCACATTCAAAGCACTGACAACAGCAACAGCAGTAGTAGCAGAAGGAGTAGTGGTAGTAATAGTAGAAGTAGTGGTGTTGGTAGCAGTAGTACTGTAGTAGTAGACCTATAGACAGTGCACTGTAAGGAAAGTATACTCTATTTGGTATTTGTGAAGTACTTGTGAAAATCCCGGCCTACGCCGTGACTTGACTAAAATTATTTTGTAAAGCAGTTTTATAATAAAGGCGTGATAAAAAATAGGTAGGCCGAGACACAGGCATTTAAAAAAAAAAAAAAAATTAAACAGTAAAAATTTTAATTAAAAGTATTTTGATTGAAAGAGTCAGCAGGTTTTTATTCATTTGTATTTAATGTGTCCCCAGATAGGTCAACATGTACACATAATTATTCTTAATTAAAAATACAGATTTTCATTAGGATTTTCAAGCCGATCATCCAATCAGAGGGCAGAATGAGGTCCTCATTTGGGTTGCCAGTATGTTAGGTGAAATCTTGCTGGTCCTGGATTTTTTTTTCACAAACAAAAAATAGCACATATTTCAATGAAAGCAGATACTAAAATAAGCAATCATAGAAGCTACATGTGTTTAACTGTATTGACTTGATTAGAAAACCAATCCACACCAACAATTCAACACTGTAAATTAGTCTAATAATAACTCAATGTGGAGGCACACGCATGGCAACTTCAGGAATAAGAATGAATACAAGGTTATTCTGGTTTCTCTCCCCGTCTCGGAGCAAGATTATGAGAAAAATGCATTCATTGAGAGTAGACACTGAAATTGGTGGATACATACTCGGTGCATATCTATATTTAGTTGAAATAACAGTCCACACCATGAGGTCACACCAAACTGTCACGCTGCAATCAGCCAGTTCAATATGAGCAACATTACATCATACAGTCAAGTGGGAGGGCCTGATTGGCAAACGCTGCAGGGAAAGAAAAGGGGGAGCAGAGAGAATGTCTAGATTTCTTTTTTCTAAAGAGGGGCACCGCTCTGACGACATTTCATCCACAAATGAGTGAGTCTGGTGGAAAGTCCCTGTGGTCTATAGACTGTCTGACCCACAAACCTACTGTACACATGTGCATTCTCACACACAGGCGTTTCAATGCTATTGGCCAGCTACGCCGATGTATTTTTCTCCAGGTTACTAATACGATCGCGGAAAATATCTTCAAAAAGACCACGTCCATGTCTGTATCATTGATCAAATCAGAGCTAAACCAAGGTAAAATTAAAGCCGCAAGCGGCGTCAAACGGCCCTCGCGCGACCCCACGCACTGCGCCACTTCCCGAAGCGCGCAAATCCCCGCAGAGCGCGACTCCCCGCAGAGCGCGACTCCCCGCAGAGCGCGACTCCCCGCAGAGCGCGACTCCCAAAGAGAGCGGCTCCCCGCAACGCGGGGGTCACCGAATCAGACAAATCAGACTTTATACATGTGCTCCTGTTTACACATACAATCTGTGAGTGTGTCCATATATATACAGACTCCATTGGATGACCATGTGACGCACCATCTTCCTAAAGCCCTGATGGGAGCGACACTGTGTATTTTGAATGTCTATGATCAATGATTGTGTGTCTCTATTGAAAAATTAAACCTCATTCTCCCCATGTAACATTGGACTTTGTCTGTAGGGGGCGCTTATGCAGCAATTTCATGTTTTACACTTACAGTTTACCCAAACTCGAGTGTTGAACTATCAAATCAAATTTTGAGCAAATCAGACTTTGCATGTGCAAACTTCGGCCATTTACTGTGCATAATAGCGCCTCCTACGAAGACATAAAAATAAATCATTTGTTGCCAAAAAAAAATCGTAATAAAAGAATATGGTGAGTCTTTGTGCATGCTCAGTGGGTCAAATATGAGATCAAACAACAGGAAAACTAAATGCGCTGTGTCCCCTATATAAAAGTTTTACTCAGCCTGTAGGGGGCGCTAATGGGACAATGTCATTGTTTACACATTCAGGCGACCTAGGCCAAGGAGTTGAACAACCGAGTCAAGTTTAGTGCAAATCAGACTTAGTAAATGCCATTCTCACCAGGGACGTGCAGTCAGGGGAGGCAGGGGAGGCAGAGCCTCACCTGCCATTATTGGAAACTAATAATTATTTTAGTTTAAATATATAATTTATATCCACTGTCCTATGCTTTTAATGTATATTCGGCACGGTTCCCATCAGTTTTGATCATTTCTGAAGTCAAAATCGCCGAAATCCCGTTATTCCTATTCAAAGAGACGAGGTGAGGCAGCGCTCCTGCGTGCCTCACCCCAGACCGCTCCCTCACAGTGTGTGTGTGTGTGTCTGAGTGCACTCAGCTCGTGCAGTTGATATATCACCGTTTGTTTCAAATATCCTGCTTTAAAAACATTTTTTAAACTCCTCTTAGTGTTTAGTAGTGTATTGCACGTATGTGTGTACAATTTATATTTAGTTTAAGTCTTTTGATCGTAGATGAACACACAAGGAAAAAGCTTGGCGTGAGGCAGGCGGTATCTGTGCCTCACCGCTAGGGGTGATAGTGAGCATAAAGTTCATACCAGAGTTGCTAACAAACAATCAGCCCAAAATGCTATTTCTTTTGCTGGAAAATGGATGATTTGAATGAAGATTTTTTTTCTCAATTGGACTTTCAAACAAAGAAAGAATTAATATAGACTGGGAGACCACCACTGGACTTACGAGGTTAGTCCGGCTGCGGGGGAGGAGTTTGTTAATCTGTGTTTTATGTTGAACATTGACAGATACCGGCAAAGTAGTGCTTTTCCGAAAAACACTGATTCAAACACTGCTCAAGAGTTCTGCAACTTGTTTAAATTATGGTTTATGTTCCTCGCGTCTCTCTCTCCTCGCGTCTCCATCTCTCTCTGCTCCTCGCGTCTCCGTCTCTCTGCTCCTCTCTGTCTCTCTCTGCTCCTCTCTCCTCGCGTCTCTCTCTCCTCGCGTCTCTCTCTCCTCGCGTCTCTGTCTCTCTCTGCTCCTCGCGTCTCCGTCTCTCTGCTCCTCTCTGTCTCTCTCTCCTCTCTCCTCGTCTCTCTCTCCTCGCGTCTCTGTCTCTCTCTGCTCCTCGCGTCTCCGTCTCTCTGCTCCTCTCTGTCTCTCTCTGCTCCTCTCTCCTCGCGTCTCTCTCTCCTCGCGTCTCCGTCTCTCTCTGCTCCTCGCGTCTCCGTCTCTCTGCTCCTCTCTGTCTCTCTCTGCTCCTCTCTCCTCGCGTCTCTCTCTCCTCGCGTCTCTCGCACTTGCGCTTCTTAAAGATGTTGTTTGATGCGGAGCAGAGTCAGCAGCT